CTCCTTCATGGCCGCGGCGTATGCCGTCGAGTTGCTTGTCTCCATCCTTCATCACCCCCAGGGGTACGTCCAAGCTACTGCTGCGCATGGGACGCCTGCGCAACATGCATCCCAATTCATCTCCTGTGGGTCGTGCTTGCAGTGTGCGGGCATCAGCCGATGAGGCCACGAACCCAGATGCCTGTGTTCTGGGAGCATTGCCACAGCAGCTGCGTGGGCGCATGGGTGCCTTTGATGTTGGCGTTTTTGCGGGCCAGGCCTATGCTCAGTGCACGGGCTGTTCAGCCAAGGTTTGTCCTGCCCGGACGGGGACTCAAGGTCGTGACCTGCCTTAGTGCTTGGTTTCAGGATCAGGCGGTGAAGGTTTCGTCTCATATGCATGCATGGGGTTCTTTTTGGTTTATTTTGTTGCGCACGTATGTGCTCTGCCACTTAGGTGCGTGAGGCCTGGCGGGCAGATTGGAAGTCCATGCTCATTTCAGCCCTCAATACACCGACTTATTTGGAGGACTTGACGGGCCTTTCGGCGATGATGAAGGCCATGGAGGAAGTGGAATACATTGACGATTGGGAGCTGTCCGACCCCGAGTTGGATGACGACATCGAGTCCAGTGGTGATGAGCAATCGACCGTTCCGCCATCTTAGAATGTGTGCTGCGCGCTGCCGAAAACCTTTGGCACTGCCCACACTGCGTACGGGCTTTGCATCCGTGCAGATCAAGTTGTAGGGATTAATTTTTCTTTTTATCTGTGTATGTCTGTGTCTGTCTGTCTGTGTGTGTCTGTGTGTCTGTGTTGGGGGTAGCGAATTTTGGCGCGCTTTTCTGCGACTTTTGTCGACAAATCAAACGAACAAATGCAATGCCACTGGACATTGTTTGAAAAGGAACAGAAACAACGCCGACTTGCATTTTCGCTCGATAGACCAGGTGTTGCAGCAGAGGCCAAGGTAAGCTATTTGAACCACTATTCTACACCATGTTGCGGCGCTGGGTAGACCGTCTTGATGAAGGTCTGGGCAAACCACCGGCGTCTCCTCGTGCGGCGGCGCCCACCTCGCGCCAGGCAGTACAAAGCTTTTTTGCATCGCCCACGGCAAGCGGGAGCCAGATCGGTCGCGGACCTGAGGCCCATGGTAGGCAACTCGTTCCGTCCCGGCCATGCATATGGGCAAGGCGCAATGTGCATCTCACAGAGATGTGCTTGGAGGTACAGGTCGCGGATGCTCGGCCGGATCACGTCCACCAGGCCGCTTGGGGGCGCCTGCATCAGCGCCTTTGCCGGCTGGCGAAGAAGAATTGCATTTGCACCACGCCCTGGCGGCGCTTGGTGAGCGCTGCCAACGTTGGGAGCACCTCTACCAGTCCCTCAATCCTAGACGAGTGGAACTTCCAGGCGACGTGGCCATGCTCCTCGCCAAGCTTCAGGCTCACCTGCACTTGGCGCCACCCGTCTTTGCCATGGCTGCCGAGTTGTACCGTACCACCCAGCTCTGGTTCGTAATCGTGGATGTGGAGGGGTGGCAGGGGCATATCCAAGAGATGGAGACGATGCAGCCTTGTACTGGTGCATGTGGTTGTGCATCTTCTGCTCACATGGGACGGCAACCCAGCTTGAGCAAGTGGACGAGCCTCCCGGCGGAGGTTGTACTTGGTTCCTGTGTTCAAATTGCCAGCAAGCATGGTCCAGCTGATCGGCGCCTCTTCAAGGATCGTCTGCATCGCCACCTATGCAGGTGCAAAAGAGCTACGAGGCATGCCTGCAGTCGACTCGACTTGACCGGATTGTACACTCAATATGCTTTCCCTTGCTCTTCGTCAGCCTCTTCAACTCGCCCATTGAAGCTGCGCAGCTGCTGCAAGTCGAGTTTGCGGTGCTTGATCTCATTGGTTTCGCGTTGGTCAGCAAAGCGCACTGCTCGAGCAAAATCCTAAAAGCTTTGTTCTGTCATGACGTGTGTCTTGCATTCATTGGTGTTGGTGCCGGCAGATACCTGACCCAGTGGGTCTGTTGCAGGACATGCTGTTGATTTTACATGCCAATTGTCGGCTTTCCCAGCGGTGTGGCATCGCTGACTTGCCCGTTCATCCCTGTTCATTCAAATCGCTACGGGCTTGTTGGATTTTGACGTGCTGGGCCTGCTCGACAGCGGCGTCTTGGAGAACGTCCTGGGACAACGGGACGTGGAACAGCTGTGCGTGCACATGTTGACCGTCTCTTATCATCTGGACGAGACGATGACCCAATTCTTTGACCTGGCTCCTCAACAACCGGCCCTACTGCTGCGCATCGTCGCTACCATCGGCACGGCCGTGGCCTTCGTGTGTATGTCATGGCCTGATGCATTTGCGATTTGGTCGAGCCGGGGTCGTTCACCTGGCGCTTGTCCTGCTCAATACATCTGTGCCGTAGGCCCTCAACAGCTGTCTGAAGTCATCCTGGTCCTTTCCGTCATGACGCCCCTGTCTGCCACCCTCCTGCAAACCATCACAACGCGTCTGGCTCGACTGCTGCGCCGTCCTTCATAGCAGGAACCTAATCGAAACGTCATCGGTTTACGTGTGCTGCACCCCAAAAAATAGTCGATTGTCAGATGAAAACACAATGCTTGACTTGACTGCAAAAGGCTGCATACGCACAGCATACAGACACACGCACCGCAACAGTAGCAACGTTGTGGACAAGCTGCCTCTCAGTTTTCTTTCTCTCCATCTCTCTCTCTCTCTCTCTCTCTTCATCTTCACTTTCAGTTTGACGAGGTCTGGTCTCGCGGTCCCTTCTCGCTGCGCGCTCCATTTGATCGCGTGTGAGCTGGCTCTATGGAGGATTGGTCTGATACTCTGTTTGTCCCTCGTTGCTTGAAATGCTCGGCTGGCAGCTTTAGCTCGGCTGGTGAAGTGGGGCATTTCTCGCTTTTTCTCTATTCTTGGAGTTGGGTGAGGTCTGTTGTGCCAGGAGCCCTTGATAAATCCATGACCGCCAAACTGCAGCCGATTAACTCACCGCCAACATCACCCGCTCACCCACCGCTTAGGTTTTGCCACGCGGCAATACATCGTCGTTGATACCCTAGATCGTACCGTGCCAGGTTGTGCCCTTCGACCGCCGCCATGTTTGGCTCCAGTTATAGCGCGGTAGGTGCTGTGTAGCTCACTCATTGCCAAAGGTCCGCGTCTTCAAAGCACCTCGATGCCCTGCGCATGCCTTCACTTGACCATACCCATGTGACCTTGCGCACTGCTTTGCAACTTTTTTGGGGGTTGTTCTGATGGCGATGGTGGGGATCAGACAAAGCTGAAGCTCAACCTCAAGCTGGCCATCACACGTCTGGACATGCTCCAGAAAAAAAACTGTGAGTGGCCCGTCCCGCCTGCCGTGTTCAACTATTGTTTCCGCTTGCCAGACTGCGCAAGACCTGTTTTTTGTTTTCTGTTTTTCTCATGGTTGGCGGTCGTTTGGGGCGTTCCTGTATCTATGAGTAGCCAATGCCATGGTTGTGGCCCGCAAGGATGTGAGCCAACTCATCAAGAACAACCGCATCCCCCTTGCCAAGATCAAGGTGCGCTCAAACGTTGCACCTCTTTGGCGCCCGAAAATGGTGCGTCTGGCTGAAGTCCCTAATCTGCTTTCTGCGTTTGTGTTTCCGAGTAGACGGAACAGGTCATTCGGGATGACTACTACATGGAGGCTCTTGAGATTCTCTCCTTGTTTTGCAATCTGCTCTTGACGCGCTGCGAACTCATGGATTCCGTCAAGTGAGGCTCTTTCCTCCTCAAGGGCCATACGAGCAACTGACTGAGGCATGTTGTAATGTCGTGGGGGGGGAGGTGGCACTCTCACTTTGTTCACTTGCTTGGGACATAGGCATTGCCATGAAAGCCTGCAAGAAGCCGTCTGCTCCATTCTTTGGGCCTGTCCTCGTGTATCTGTGGACGTCAAGGAGTTTATTGAGGTAAAAACTGAGCAACTGTGGGAGGCACAGCATGCCTGCTACCTCATTTCACACTGCGCCCCTTGGCCCCGCCCGCCGGTGCCTCGCCTCTTTCCCATTGATGCGTGGCCCTTAAATTCGATCGTTGGTGGTGGTGCTCGTGGAAGGATTTGAGCGTTCGGGGGCGGGCATCTCATGACTGCTTGCTTGATTTGTTGGTACAGATTCGCAAGCAATTAACGGCACGCTTTGGCAAGGAATTTGTGGACGCTGCCCTGCAAAATTCGTCGCGCTGCGTCAGCGCTCGGGTACGATGCACTCAAGCCGATGCCGCTTGCCTCAAAACCTTGTCAGGGAATTACTGACCCGACCAAATGCCATGGATGACACTGTGCGTGCCTGATAGCTAATGGACAAAATGTCGGTGCTGGCGCCGCAAGAGCACGTCGTTCTGGGCTACATGAAGGTGGGGCGCCGTGACTCGAGCGTCGCGAATCGCCGCTTCAACCCTGCGTGATGCCATGCCTTGTCTGACGTTGGGGGTGATCTCGCGATAATTTTGGCGTATGTGTCTGCGTGTCCATGTGTGTGAAACCCCTACAACAACAGGAAATCTGCTCAACCTTTCACGTTGATTGGGAGCCGCCTCTTCCCAACTTGCTGGATGCTGACTTTCCCTCGCCGCACGACCCGAACGGTGGTGGCTCAGGCGGGATGGGCATGAACGATCCCGAGCCGGTGTGTTCTTTTTTTTTTTTTTTTTTTGGCGGGGCCTGGGGTTGCCCTTCTGGGCTTGGCGTGGGTTTGGCTTTTGTGAGTGCTGTGGGGTGTTTTGGCAATACAAAGATCTGATGGAATCCGCTGTGCTGCAGCAAATCCCGGCCGATCTGCATTTCATGGCCCCGAGTTACCCAGCAGCCACGACTGGTGCAGGACAGCCCTATAACAAGCAGGACACTTCGCACCTGTACGTACCCATACACAGCGCGCGGTCGGCCCGGACATACTGAGAAGTCCTCACTGCACTGATCTGGGATTGCCTCTGTCATATAGGGCCTTTCCACCCGGCATGCCGGCCCCCTCATATTCGAACAATGGGATGGGTGGATTTCCTGACACGCCAGCCCAACCAGCCACGAGCGCGTCGGCGCCACCGCCCGCGGCACCCGAGGGACCCTCCGCACCTGCGTACATGTCACCGCCGCCACCGGGTCAATACAATGGGCCCAGCTCAGCATCATCGGCGCCCGTGGAAGAGGACATGAACCCTTTCCCGACGGTCCCCACTTCACATGCCCAGGCCTACGCACCCGAGACCACGGAGTTGCCCTCGGTCCCGGGCCAGGAAGGGTGAGCCTTGTACCCGTCGTTTGTTCGGCTGGAAGGGTGGGTACCTGTTCTCACCTCTTGGCTGTCCCCGCCTTTGCATTAAATTCGCCTTGCAACAGGCAATCCGATATGAACGCAGCCATGGACTTTGATGAGCTAAACCGTCGCTTTGAACGCCTGAAGCGCCAGTAGGACGACCCGAGGGCACTTGGCACCGGCCGCTTCCAGCGCTACGTGTGTGTGTTTAGAACTACTAAATGTAATTGGTTCTCTGAACGCTGTCGTTCCATGTGTGTGTTGTTGTCAGTGTATGTGTGCCTTTTGGCCCAAAGGGCTGACTGTGTCAGAAGATTGTAAACAAGTATTTGAATCATTTCAACGCCAGAAATACCTCGTCCACCTATACAAATACCGCGCTATAAGCCATAGTGTGCCGTTTCCAAGTCGGTTACGCCAAGCCAAAGCTCTCCCTCCTATTCCTCTGACTTCTCCGCCTTTGTGCTGCTGGCTCTGTGGCTGTGTGTCTCTCTCCCCCTCTCTCTCTCTGTCTCTCTGACTCTCTCTCTGTCTCTCTGTCACTCTCTGACTCTCTCTCTGTCTCTCTGTCACTCTCTGTCTCTCTCTGTCTCTCTCTGTCTCTCTGTGTCTCTCTCTCTCTCTGTCTCTCCCTTCTCTCTTCTCTCTCTATTCTCTTTCTCTCCCCCTCTTCTCTCTCTGTCTCTGTCTCTCGCTCTCTCTTCTGCTCTCTCTCTCTGCTGCTCTCTCTCTCTGCTGCTCTCTCTGCTCTCTCTGGGCTCTAATTTGATTTGGTGTTGTTCTCCTCCTCGTCGTCGTCGTCGTCGTCGTCTTCGTCTTCGTCTTCGCCGTCCGTCCTCCGTCCGTGTGCGTGTCGCCGTCGTCGTTCCGTTTGTTGGACGTTTGCTGTGTCTTTTCTGTTCCGAAACGTGCAAAACAAGGTCAGACCCACGTGCTGCTGCTGCTGCTGCTCTTGTTGTTTGACGTGTCACTGCCATTTCCCTCGACCCGTCATGTCGCCTCGTGGACGGGTGACGATGGGTGCCACAAAAGGGCAGCGCCCGGGGCACGGGCAAGCGATGCTTTCTGGGTCGCTTCCTCGGTCACCAATAGCCCCGCCACAGCCAGTTTCGCTCTCTCAAATAAGAGCGCTGGCTCGGGGCACGGGGGAACGGGGGAATGCATGCATGGTGCTGGAGAAGGATGAGCTGCACACAGTATTCCAGTGTTTTGGCTCAGCGTGCCAAAGGCCGGCTGCATGCCAGCAAGGGCTGGCTGTTGTGCCTTTCTCTTGGTGGTTCCACACTTACTTTTGCAACTGCTTTGCTACCTACCCGCTATGGTGGCGGGAACGTGTCGGTACCCTCTCTCCCCGTAGAACCAGCAAGAATGGATCCCTCGATGATGCCTGCCGAGTCAACCCTGTTCATGGAACAGATGATGGGCGCTGCTCCCCCAGCTGCTACTCTGACCAAGGATCCCGACGCCATGAAGCTCTTCATTGGCCAAATTCCCCGCAACTACAGCGAGGAGGATCTCACTCACATCTTCTCCGAGTTTGGCCACATTTACGAGGTCATGATCCTGCGCGACCGCCAAACCCACAACTCCAAAGGTGAGAGAAAAAATCACGACGCGCCTTCAGCCCCATGTCCACCCTCCTGCTTGCGTTCGCCTCTGGTCCTCGTGAGTGTGCATCCTGCCAACAACCAGGGCCACATAAAGGCGTTGAACACGCCTTCCTCTTCCTCCTCCGACTTATCCCCGAGTTGGGGCCGAGTGCTGCACACACACACGCGCGCGCGCTGGCCACCCCCGTCTTTCGCGTCTGTGCTGATCATGTCTTTTCTTGTGTATCTGCTGTCCCCAAGGTTGTGCCTTCTTGACCTTCACCACCCGCCAGGCGGCCGTGGACGCCATCGAGCGTCATCACGAGAAGACCACCCTCCCCAACATGTCGCACCCGATGCAAGTCAAGATTGCTGATACGGATCAGCGCAACGCTGAGCGCAAGCTCTTTGTGGGCATGCTCGCTCGTACCATGAACGAGGACGACCTGCGCGCCAAGTTTGGTGCCTTTGGCCACGTCGAAGACCTCACCATCCTCCGCCATGCCGATGGCTCCTCCAAGGGCTGTGCTTTCGTCAAGTTTTCCAACGCTGATGAAGCCCAAAGCGCCATCGCCAACCTCCACCACTCGGAGACCATGGATGGTACGGCCAGTCAACTTGCAACAGTAGAGAGGCGGCGGGCCACCCTCCGCACCTCCACACACACACACACACACACACATGCATGCTCATTTACATTCCGCTGTGGTGTTCACTGACGATCGCTTTCCCTTGTTTCCCCCTTTGGCTGCTTGCCCCAGGCTGCCGCTCACCCATTGTCGTCAAGGTGGCCGACAACGAGAAGCAGAAGCAGCACCGTAAGCTGCAGCGCCAGCTCAACAACATGAACGTCATGATGCCCTACAACATGATCCCCAACCCTCGCAGCATGAGCTACAACATGTACAACCAGGCTGCCAACTTTGGCCAGTTTGGCAACGGTATGCCTGCCCCCGACCACGGTGCCATGGGTGAGGTGGACGGCGGCGCTTCCCCCGTCGGTGGCTTCAACATGCCCTACCCTTCCAACCCCTATGGCATGGCCAGTGCCCCCTTTGGCCAGCAACCCTACATGGGTCAGCCCATGGCCCCGCGCCAATCCTCCCAGCAACCCGAGGGCCCCGATGGCTCTAACCTTTTCATCTACCACCTTCCTCAAGAGTTCAACGACCAAGCGCTGGCCGCCACCTTCCTTCCTTTCGGCAACGTCATCAGTGCCAAGGTCTTTGTGGATAAGATGACCGGCCAATCCAAGTGCTTCGGCTTTGTCAGCTATGACAACCCCGCCTCGGCTGAGGCTGCCATCACCGCCATGAACGGTTTCCAGATTGGCATGAAGCGCCTGAAGGTGCAACTCAAGCGCCCCAAGTCGGCCAACGCCGGCATGCCCATGCACCAGGGTCCCCTCTTTTAAGCCTTTTCTCTCTCCTCGTCTGTTTCTTCCTACTGTTCCTTTTCCCTTTTTTTCCTTTTTTTTTTCCTTGACGTCCTTTTGAATTTTTGTTCCGCGATGGGTTGTGGCTGAAAGTTATGAGAGTGATTTTCGAACCCCGTCGCGAGGCCTAGTGTCAAACCAACTTTGTCTCTTTCCTTTCGTCTTTGCTGTTCTGTGGCCTTGACTGTGCCGTGCCTGTCTTGGCCGCCTTCCTGCCTGCCCTTTCTGGGCCTGTCTCCTCTCGCTGTCCCATCTCTTCTTCTTCTTCTTCTTTTTTTTTGTTTCACTGCCTGTTCCCGGCGTGTCGGGGTGGGGGCGGTTTTCTTCTTGTCTGGTCATGTTTCGACCCCATACACGCATGCGCCCCCTTGCCTTTGATGCTTGGGTGGGCGCCTGGATGTCCAACAAAAACACCAGTACCCGAGCAAATTGGAATTGCTTTGCCCTTTATGTCTCAATTGCGAAATCACTTACTCTCCACCCACACTCGTTCACTCAAGCAGTTGAAACCTGTCTGTCACTCAAGTTAAGACGTCATCTCAAAACCAGTCACTCTGCTGCACTTCGGGCGCCCAGTGCTCGGACGCGTCAGTGTAGGACTCGACTGCGTCGGCGCCCTGTTGAGCCAACCAGCTCCAGTGGCGCGCCACAGCTGACCAGTCAAAGCAGAAAGGGCAACGCTCCCGATCAATGCTGATATCGCGCCCCGTGCCTGGGACGCCAGGCGTCAAACTGCAGCTGACCCCTGTGAAAGATCTAAGCCCACCGCCATTCGAGTGAGAAGAGCCAGGCTTTTGCTAGAATATGACCTGTGAGTTTAAAGGACATACCTGTGCACCAGATGGTTCCCAAACTGGCTCAAGAGTTGGTCGCAGCGCTCACGCATGGCCACGGCTTCAAAACTGCGGCGTAAGAGCTGTTCACACAATGTAGTCTATCACGGCGGTCGAGCTCGACGTGAGCATTCCCTGGATTAGTTGTCATGTCCGCATGCCAAGAAACGAGGGGATATTTTGACGTCGCAACACACCTGGGTCCAGTCGGTCTTTTCCAGAAGGCTGACTTGGTTCAGCACGGCAACCACAAAGTCCAAGCAATCATGGTGAGCGTCGTGTTGCATCAACGCCCAGGTCGGGCGCACCCGTGCGAGGGCATGGGCGAGTTGACCAGCTCCAACACCAAACTGTGTTAGATCCACCAATAAGCCTGAACCCCAGGCCATAGCTGGCTCATCCATTAGTCCCGGCTCGGCAAAGGCCACCACGCGCCCTACATGGGAGATGAGGGGCGTGAGTTGCTTCAGAGCTGCAGCTGCACTCGAACCCTGCGCGTGTGTACCTTGGCACGCCAGCCCCACATGCAAGAGCGCTGTTCCTTCGTTGAGACTTTCTTGCCACGAGCCACGAATGAGTTTGAGGGCCAGTGCTACGGTATCAACCCCCGGCTCTTCCGAGCACCAAGCTCGCCTGCCCTCCGCCAAGCAGTGAGCGGTAAGAGAGCGAGCGTGCCGAGCGCACTTTTGGACAGCTGCGGGAACGCGCACGAGCAGTACATACGTCCACACATCAAACCCATCTTTGGCCTCTCGAGCAAAAGCCCGTTGACGCTCCCCCTCGGGCCGCACATACACCGATCCTGCCCCGATCCCGCTCGCTGCCATCCCATCGAGCCTGCGGACACCGCGAGAGGGAGAGACTGAGAGGCAACGATTTCCGGACATAGAGAGTGAAGGACACAGTGAAGGCAATGCAGAGATGAAGCAAGATTCAGGGTGGAGTTGGTCCAATAGCAACGGTTTACATCAAGTAATCGAGAGAAGCAAAGCCATCAACTCATCTGCTCAGAGAGAGAAGCAGAGCACAAGAAATGTCAGCAATTTAGTGCCAGCTGAGGAGGAGAGAGCACATGCACTTGAAAAACGATTTTTCCGAATCCGGCGACGCGACGACTCTTGCTTGCAAGGTTGGCGGGAGGTGCTGGCCTCCGTTTTTTTTAGCTGGTGGTGGGTGGCATTGCACAGTGCAAGCGTAGACGGTGGAGCGGTGATCATGTTGCGCAAGCTTGTGTTGGGAGCTGGCGCCACGGTGCTGTTTGGCGGTGGTGTTGGGCTCGGTGTGTTGGTCGCGCAAACTGACTCCACGCGACAAGTCACCGATGAGGAACGGGCCGTCTTCTGGCGGAGCTCGGGCCGCGAGTACGATGCCAAGGTCGGCGCTGCTGAAGATGGTAACGGTATCACTGCCCAGCGCAAGGCTCTCATGGCCCACGCGCGAGGTCGAACACTCGAGGTGGCTGCCGGCACCGGGCGCAACCTTCAATTCCTTTTGGACAATTCGAACGTTCGCGAGATTGTTCTCACAGACGCCCACGAGGGCATGCTTCAGGTCGGTGGCTAGCGCATCCCCCAAACCAGATAGCTCGCGTCACAAGCTGGATTTGTTCTCGCCCTCTCACTCTGTTGACCCCGTCGGTGGCACAGGTGATGGCCAACGAGACTACACCGCCGGCCTCTCAGGTGGCGCTCGACCAGGTAGGCACAGGTGCTTCGAATGCCTAGGCAAGCCGCCACCGCCCCCAAGCACCGAATTTGGGCACATGATCTGATAGCCCCCTACCAGTCCCGTGTGCAACGACAGGCCGCTTCGAGTGAGGCCCTGCCCTTTCCTTCTGCCTCGTTCGATACGGTGATTGACACCTTTGGACTCTGTTCCGCCAGCGACCCACTCCTTGCCCTAAAAGAAATGCTGCGCGTTTGCCGCCCAGATGGACAGGCATGTCCAGATTCGCAATGCCAACACCTTTGATATCAAACAGCGCTTTGCAACGAGAGGCGTCACTCCCATGATCAATTAAACGACATTTGCCGCGCTCTCATCTGCAACCACTTGCCAATGTTGTTGCCGCTGCTGTACGCGTGCTTTGTCTGGCTAGGTTTTGTTGCTGGAGCATGGGCGGAGTGGATGGTGTGCCCCCATCAATGCCTACCTCGACTGGCGGGCCGCCAATCATGCTTTGGACTGGGGCTGCTGGTGGAATCGCAACATTGCTGGCCTCATCAACGCCGCTGAGCACCATCAATGGTGCCAGATCGAGCACGTCGAGCACTTTCACTTTGGCACCGGTCATTGCTTTATTTTACGCCCGCGGCCGAGCGCATAGCGGCGTCAGCTGCTTGCTCCGTTGCCGCTGCTGTGCTGTGCCGCTGCATCTTAACAATAGACCGCTTCACGCCCGTCGTGGACGCCCATACCGTCTATTGCCGCCCAGTATCGGATCCACCGAGGAACCAGGAGAACGGTTGATATAAAAAGGATGTGGAACAGCATTCATGAGCCCCTTGATCGGAGTCAGCACCTGGCAACGGCAAGAGTCGTACCTCCACCTGAAAGCCGCTTGTCTCTGCTTTGGAGCACAGAGCGCGCACGCCCCCACCTGAGACCGCCCCAGGAACCCAGGCAGAGAGTGAGGCCCGCGCCAACACGCAGGCTCAACAAGCATTGAGACACCTTACGTACCGACACCAAAGTAGTAGTTCTTATTAGCGGCCAACCTATAATTGATTTTCGATGTGGGAGTATGAGCTGCCCGGTCAAGAAACGAGTACGCGCGCAGACTTGCCGCCAAAGCGGGCTGGAGCAATAACATACACCACCCCGGTTGGTGCAAGCACGGCCTGGATCAGCTCAACGAGGCCGTCGATGCTGGCGAGCGAATACGCCGTTTCCGCTGACACAATCAAATCAAAGCCTTGCGGGGCAATCTTCCTCAGCTCAGCCTGCATCGTGCGCCAATCCCCGCTGAGAAAGTGGGTGCGACTTGCGTCAAGCCCATTCGCCATGGCGTTGGGCATTGTCCAATGCTCCAACACCTCACCATTCTACGCCAGCCCAACCCGCGAATAGCCGAGATGGTCAGAATAGGTGATCAGGTCAAGACGTGGAACCTGTGATTGGCCCAACGACACCTACATAATCCTGAAAAGTTACGTGCGCTCCACGAGTAGCAGCCACCAAGCCTGGCAACCCTGCGCCGCACCCCAACTACAATGCATAGTCAAGGTGAAGCTATCATGCGCCCCACGCGCTCCAGCCAGGCAAACCTGCGAGCCTGCGAGGCAATGAATAAAGCCATACCTCAAGCACATGGAGGCCCTCGCAGCCGGTGGGATATTGCTGGCAAACGCAGCGTGCCAGGTCGAGGCTGCACTCCCACAGTTTGAGCCCACCCTCATACTCGTCTTGCACCACGTCTGTGTTCTCGCTCAGTGCCGTCTTGAGATGCGTCCCCGTGGCACCGCTCTATGAAAGCGCAGATGAAATGAAAGAATAGAAAACGTGCCAATCGTGGCATGGAGCCGGGCTCCATGCCCAAAGATGGCGCCGAGCTGACGTCGGGGTTGTGTGCTTACCGCGACTGTCTCATACTCAGCCTTGGTTTGCGCCAAGAGCTGAATTGTCGCTTCTCCAAGCTCAAGCGGGCTCACAAAGTCCTCTTGATCATCTGTCAGCGCAGTGGGCGTGTGGCGCTGGCAAGGAGCTGGTGCAGCCCGTTTCGCAGCCGGGACCCCGTCGACACTGCTGGGAGCAGCTGTCTCTGCTGCAGTCGAGCCCGAGCCTGCTCCAGTCGACGGTGCCCCCGAGCTTGGCTCGGTAGCGGCAGCACTCCCAAAATTAAAAGCAAACATGAAGCCGGCGTCTCCCCAGTCCCCAACCCCGCCACACCCACCAGTGAGGTCTATCAAGCCGACCCTGCCGGTGCAAAACTGGACCCCGGACCGCTCAAATCAGGAAAATTGCAGATCAGAGTGCACGATCGTTTCCTTCGTTTCGAGCACGTTGGCGATCAAATGTCTGACAAATCGAGCCGAGCCTTTTTAAATTGTGGTGCTGCTGGTGTTTGATGTGCCCGGCGAGGCGGAGGAGTGACTGGCTTCTGAATGTTTTATGCGTCTTGGTGCATTGGGGGGACGTGCTGCCTCGTGTACCTCGCCGGCTTTGGCTTGTTGGTCAACAAAAATTGTCTTTTTGATCAAATTTAAACCAAAGCGTCAAATAGAGAAAGAAAACGAAAAGCAGAAGAGGAGCGCCAAGCCCTAATCCCATTGAAGGCAAAACGCGGTCTCAACTATGTGAGAGCGGCTACGACAGAAAAAAGACAAGGCCGTTTGAGAGCCAAGTCGAGCACGAGCCGCCTCACGGCAAGTTGGGTGTGACGATGAACACAAATGGAAGCCAGACGACCCAGGCAGCCGAACGTCAGCACGAGAAACTCTGGAGAGGCGTGCTTGGGGATGTTACCGAGAACAAAAGTCTCCAGGGATAATCCAATGTCGACGCAAGCACGTGAACAAGGAACAATGAACACACGGTAAAATAACAAGGTAACTGCAACAATCAAGACAATGCGATGAGGCCACTCACCACGGGCAAGCCAACCCAATGAACCCGATTTCAAGACCAATGAATGACCAAAAACGACCATAACCCAATAGGACGACCGAACGAGCTAACAAAAAAAAAAAAAAAATATTGAAATATGCTGCATGCCTCTGCCTTGAAAGCAAGGAAAAAAAAAGAAAAAAAAAGGAGGCAGGAGGGTAGATCAAAGCAAGAGAATCAAAGAAGGGAATCTCCATGGGGAGAGTGTGCCCTTCCTCGATCTAAGGCTCAAAGCCAGGCTCGATAAATGTAAAGTTGGCAAACTCATCCTACCACCAAAAACGACCATAAGATTTTGCCAATTGGTAAGTCAAAGGATGCGTCGAGTGAGGGGTGGGAGCGCGAGCCAATCACGTAGTCCTGCAGCGCCAGCACTGCCAGCACACTCACCTGAGGGATGTGCTTGACCCGGTTGGGGTCCGGGGGTGTAACCACGGGCTTTTCTCGAAGAAATTCTTGGTCAAAGTTGTCAACCGCACGATCACCCTTGATCTTGGGCTTGAAGGGGGGCTCGATTTCCTTCTTCTCGAGTTTGACCCAGTCAATACCACGGAAGAAGGAGTGAGCCTTGATGTCGGCTTCACCATTCGGGCCGCAGCCCAGGCGCTGATCGCGGTCCTTGGTCAAGAACCCTCGAATGATGGACACGGCGTCCTTCGAGAGCCAGACGGGGAAGAGAACCTCGTTGTGGAGGATGGCCATGAAGAGGTCGTCCTCGCTGGCACCGTCAAAGGGGGGCTGACCGGCCAGCATCTCGTACAACAAGACACCCAGCGCCCACCAATCAACCTTGTAGTCGTAGGGCACCTCCTTGATAATCTCGGGGGCAATGTAGTCGAGCGTGCCGCAAAAAGTGCGGGCGGGCTCATCGGCCGTGTCTTTGCACATTCCAAAGTCGGCAATCTGCAACAGATGATGTCGAGAAGGGAGGCAGGCAATGCAATGCGGTGAGGGGTGACATGTCAGGGAAAAGATGAGGGGGTGCCGCGAAGGAGGGCCACGTTGAACGAAATACGACACTGCGCTGTCACAGTGGGTGAATGGTGGCAGATGAATGGCGGCAGACGAGGAGAAGAGCAACACACCTTGATGTGGCCCTCGGCGTCAAGCATGACGTTGTCGAGCTTGAGGTCGCGGTAAGCAATGTTCCGCCTGTGCAGGAAGAGGAGGCCAAGAGCAATTTCGGCAGCATAAAAGCGAGCACGTTCCTCCTTGAATCGTCGAGCGTGCTGAATTTGGAAGAGCAAGTCACCGCCGGCAATGTACTCCATAACGTAAAAGAGGTGGCCGGGGGTTTGAAAGCAGCAATACATGCGGGTCAGAAAGGGGTGCTGCCCGGTAAATGTGAGGACACGTTTCTCAGAGATGGCACACTCCACGTCGTCATCCTCCACCAGGACGTCCTTCTTCAAAAGTTTGACGGCAAAAATTTGTTTCGTCTTCTTGTGCTCAGCCAGCATGACCTTGCCGAAAGAGCCCTTGCCCAGGACCTTGAGAAACTTGAAGGCATCAGGTGACAGGTCGTCGTTGCTGTGAGCAGAACTGGAAGCCTTCTTCTCCTCGCGCTTGCGCTCTTTGTCTGCTTTGCGCAGGGCCTTGGCTTCAGCGCGGAGCTCGGCCTTGCTTTTGGATGAGGCCTCGCTGCCATCCTCGCTTTCGTCCTCCGAGCGTTGCGAGTTGCGCATCTTGTCGGCTGTCAGATCAATCTTCATGAGCTCGGCTGCCAGACGCATGTGGTCCAGGCCGCACAAATGAGGCGTGTGGGGGGCGCAGCGCTTGTGGACGTTGGTCTTGCAGGCTATAGAACGTGGTGAAGGGAGGGAGGGACTTTGTGTGAGGCGCACGCTGCCCTGGGACGTTTATGCGAGCGCATGTGATGGAGGGAAAGAGACGTACAAACGCATTGCATGCCCTGGTTGTACAGGCCCCAGAGCAAGCTGCCGCAGTGATCACAAAACGTGGGACTCTTGTACGTCTTGACCTTGAAGCGGTGTGGGACGTTAACGTTGAATCGCAATTGCATTTCCTGAGCCAAGGGACAAGGCAAGCATGAGCAAGAGGGCCAGGGTAGAGTTCATCTCAGCAAGAGGTGATGGCAAGCAAAGACTCGACAGCAAAGTACACCACGCAGCGTTGAGACAAGAGGAAAATACCTCGTTGGTGCGGCGAATGCTCTCCATTTGCATCTCCGCGCCTGCAAAGACCGAGAGGAGATTTGAATGAGGGCATCAGGTGCACTTGAACCGAAAGGAGAAGGGGTTTGTACGATCAAGGGTGGTGTCATTGGGTGGTTTGCTTACCGGGGCAGGGGCTGATGACAAGGGCATGGCACTTTTTGTGCACGGCCATGCGACAGTCTGTGAGGCAGGCAGGCATGGGTAGGAAATGCGTGAGGATCAAGGGAACTTTGGTTGCCACTTGCACCCTCGGGAGATGTCTGGGTGTTCTTATCCCCTTCGCTCCAGCCTGGCAGGTCGATTGAACGTACTGAGGCATTCATAGCCTTGTTTGCCCAGACCCCAGCAAAACCCTTTGCAATGGGAGCAGTAGGTGGGCTGACGGAAGAAGCGGGCGACAAATTTGTGACGGTTGATCTCGTGAACCTTACGGCGCTTGAAGGCACCCTTGCGGCGGGGCGCCTCATCGCGCTCCACAAACTCGAGGGGTTGATCTGGACAACGCCGGGAAATCGGCATCAGATGAATGGACAATGGGCTCACACGGATTGCAACGGCGGGGAGATTGGGCTCGACATACCAGCCATGACGAATGTTCGTGGGCGCGCAAAAGCACGCAAGGGATAGTAAGAAAAAGAAGGAGAGCGAGTGGCCGAGCGTGTGGGCCAAGCCGTGAGCCACTCAAGGAGTTTGTTGCTGGGCAAAGCTCTAAGGTGTGTGTGTGTCCAGAAGAAGAGATTGGTGAGCGGGCAAGGGTTCAAAAGGCTGGCGAGGCACCACGATGATGGCCGGGCTGGTCGAACGGGCACACCACACACCACACACACACACACACACACACACACGAAGATGCGAGGATGTGCAAGGTGGAGCGGATGGGCAGGAGGCGTGTCGATGTAAGCACACGCGCATGCAGCGCAAGGTCAAGTTGGACAAGGCCACACGATGAGAAGCAGGAAAGGCAGCGCGCGCACACACCCAATCAACGCAAGCAAGCGGCGAGAGTAGGAAGATTGGTTGGTTCAACAATGTGGAATAAAAAAAAAGGTAACGAGAGCAGCGATGTTGCGTGTGTCTGTGTGTCGTGGGGGCGCACAGATGGAGCGGGCGCAGCGGCGGGGCGATACCGTGTGTGTGTGTGAGAGAGAGAGAGAGAGAGGAATGGAATGCAACCAGCGGAATAGAGAAGCAATGGCAGTGCTGGCGTATGTGGATCGGCCTTTGCACGCACGGCTCTGCAGCGTCTGATCGCTACGATCAGACCAAGGTCGAAAATACCCCGGGTTTGAACGTACCACACACAGCCAACGAAAGCGCCGAGGCTCCTCCTTCTCCTCCTCCTCCCCGTCGTCGTCGTCGTCGTCGTCGTCGTCGTCGTTCTTGAGATTTTGACGGAATGGCGGACGAGAGAGAGGGACGCAGCGAGAGAGAGAGAGAGAGAGAGAGAGCGCGCGTCAGTGTGGGGTGAAGAGATGGTGGATTAGGCTTGGTGAAGGGGTAGAGAGAATGGTTGGCATGTGGAGTGAGGTAAGCGAGAAAGTAAAGGTGTAAGCAGAGATGTGGTGTGAGGGAGGATGTGGCGGTAGAGAGTGGGGTTGACAAGGGTTGCAGCGGCAGAGGTGGAGGTACGCTGAAGACCCAAGGGGGCGGGGTCGTTGATACTACCCCTTTGACTTACAAAACAAAACAAACAAAAGGAGGAGCACCCCAGCAACAACAGTTTAAACAACTGGGCAGAGGGAGGTGCAGGGCAGGGTGCGCATGCAGAGATGGAAACGTCGAACGGGATCGAGTCAGAGAGAGAGCGAGCGCGAGACGAAGATTACAGCCAGAAGGAAGGAATTGACACACGGGCAGAGACAGAGCCAGCAGCAGAGCCAGGGGGACAGACACAACCATAAGGACAGACAACACAAGAGATGCGTACAGCAGCCATACGATTGTCAGAAAAAAGATGATACTACCAAATGTCAGTGAGAAACAAAACCATCCACTTTGGGCGAAAAGTTCCGTCGTCACTCACACCTGGTAGCGCAGAGTGGGTGATGTCGTAATCGTGTTGTTTCCAACACGTGTTGTTCGGAGCAATTTCAAGTTATTGTCACTGTATTCGTGATCGGTTGTTCCGATTGCTTCATACTTCTTGCACACATACGCATGTGATGCTTGACTCACTGCGTCACGCTCTCCCTCTCACAACTTACAGCTGCTGACCGGTACCTCTCAGCCAAGGTTAAATTCAAGCTGAATAGCCCCCTCTATACCTCCTCTACTCATCAACCTCTGCCCGTTTTTCACCCTCAAAGACCTTCTCTGGAGGTCACATGATCGAACACTTTTCTCTGCCCTTGCTCCCGCTGCTGCTGCTGCTGCTACAGTTGCCTGCTTGCTTCCTGCCTGCCTATCACGGGTTGGCCTCTGGTGGCGTTGTTGCCCCTCCTTTTGACGAACAACAGCCTTGGGTCAGTACCTGCCCAGTCTCCCTCCCTCTCTGTCTGTGTCTCGTGCGCTGCGGTGGTGCAAGTGCGGTCGTTGGGCCTGCCTGGGTCACGAGTGAGCGCGCAGCACTCACGGCCGGTGGTGTGGTGGGCACGGCTGCCGTCATTTCCAACCTCCGATGGGCTCTCAGTGCATTCCCTTGCTCTTTCTGAATTCTCTGTCGCAAACATCGCCCTGGCTGCCCTCGCATTCCGCTGGCTTCCCCAGTGTCTGCGGCTTGGTGCCACGACCCCAAGCTCACTCACCCGCTCCGTCGGCCTCTTGCCCACCCCACTTGCCCTGCATCCAGCCTTGAACCTCCGTCATCTCAGCGCCACTTCCACCGCTGCCATGGCCAAGATCATTGATGGCAAAGCCATTGCCCAGTACGTTCAAGGCACCATGGCCTCACCTTTGTCGGAGCATAGACGCCTCGGCTCATCTTCTGCGCTCTGCC